GCGTTAATTAATGAATGCGTTAACGCGAAATTAACGCGTTAACTTGCCCAGCACTACTTTAAACCTTACTGAGTAATTCCATTTTATTACAACATGAGGCTTATTTTTCTAGCTTTAACCATCATTTCTGTTAATAATAATAAAGTTGTACTCACCAAGTAAGCAGCTGAAGACATCTCTAAAGACGTTTTTTTTTTTAACCAGGCTGTAAACATATTTATTTCTGCTGTAAAGTTGGCCCTTTTAAGGGGTTAATGGGGACCTTTGGAGCCAGCCTCAGTTGGCAATTGCTGTTGTGTTTCCACCACCTAACTTCTCCCAACACCACCAATTATAGTTCTTTAAACCAATGACATACAATACATCATTTAGTGAGCTGTAGAGGTGTTGGTAGGTGTATTTTTGAACTTTGGACAGACCAGGCTAGCTGTTTCCCCCTGCTTTGAGTCTCTATGCTAAGCTAGGCGAATTGCCTCCCAGATGTGTACACACAGAGTTAGACTGATATGAATATTCTCATTTCACTCTAAGAAAGAAAGCAAATAAGCTTATTTCCCAAAATATTGAAGTACTCTTTTAAAAACTCAATTTCCTGAAGAAAAGACAAATCTGATTTCAAGCTGATCTTAAAACTTCCAGCCAAATATCAAGTGTGTGGTTGCTCGCCCTTCAGGTGACTCAGCGTTTCTTTGACTCGGTGTCGACTCAGTTGGAACGTTGGTACGAGAGGACGATTGCGGAGGTGGAGCAGCAGACGAAGCTCAGAGCCCAGCAGGACCAGAAGGAGCTGCTGCAGCAAATAAGCACGCTGGAGGAGGAGCTTCAGAGGCTGAAGACCAATGAGAAGGGAGAAAGCTGATGAAGTTTTGATGTATAAGAAAGATAAGAAAGACAACCTAGTAAACAAATGAATAAGAAGGAGACATGTCCCCCCTCACTCTTTAGACGGCAGTATTTGACCACTCTACTTTTTACAGTCAGAAAACTAACGTTATGTTAAAAATATTTTTTTTAAACAGGGGAAACTGCAGATACTGGGACCACGTGGTAACAATGCCTGTATATTAATTTAGCTAATGTAATGTGTATATGCAGAGTGAAATCATGCTGGAATATATACATGCATGTTTAATTTGCTTTTAATTTGTATTTTGTTATTTGTTACCTTTGACACCGAATGAATAGACTGACCGACAGTGAAGGTCTCTATTTAATCCCTGAGTCCTTTTGTGACTTTAAATGTAATTCAATATACGTAAGTCAGTTTTAATTCCTTGTCATCAAATGTAATGAGATTACATAATAATATTATCAATGTATGACCCAAATACATCTCTGTGTTTTGTCTTGTACAAGGTTTTGATCTATCTTCCATGAAAACTGATGCAAAAAATATGTTTGTGGAAGTTGTGAAGCAGGTTGTGTTATTGGAGCAGGAGACTTGTTACTTTTTTGTCATGTTGGTGTAAATGTCTCTGTTTATTGTCCACAATGTTGAATGAACAAAGTGACTCAAAGGGCCTGCAGGAGATGAGACCTGGAGCGCACAGAACAAATCTTTGGTAACTATCAAATCTACTAGTGGTAGTAGATGTAGTAATAGTTGAAGTTTTTGCAGTCGTAGTTGATGTTGTAGTAGTACTATTAGTACTAATGGTTGTTATAGCAGTAGTACTTTTGTAGTAACCGCTGTAGTAACATTAATATAATTAGTAATTGTTGAAGTTGTAGAAGTCATAAAAATGTAATATTATAATAATAATAATTATAGATTTTATTTATAGCGCTTTTAAAAGGTACTCAAAGATACTTTACATGGTAAAAACAGAAACAATAGAAGTAATAACAATAAGAGCAGAATAGATAACAGTAAGGAACAACATGAAAAAGAAAAAGAGAAACAGACATAAGTGACTTTACAGGTTAAAAGCAGATTTAAATAGCTGAGTTTTGAAAGTTTTGAAAGTGCGAGTGACGAGAATGTCTGAGGTACTGGGGGAGGGAGTTCCAGAGGGAGGGGACAGCGATGGAGAAGGCCCTGTCCCCCCAGGTCCGATGCTTGGACCAAGTAGGGGGGGGTAAGGAGGTTGGCGTCGGCGGATCTGTATCAACACGTTGGGAGCGTGTTGATGCAGGAGGTCAGAAAGGTATGAAGGGGCGAGGTTATGAAGGGCTTTGTATGTGATGAGAAGAATAGAATTATAGAATGCCGTGAGAAAAAAGAGGAAGACTGATGAAAAATAGTATAACACAGTATAGTATTGAAAACATGATAAAGGCGTATGTCATACAAATATCATGGTAAAGCATGTCATGAAAAAATCATAAAGGGTGTCATGATATTGTATATTATAGAAATTCTATATAGAATTTGATGAAAATGTAATAAAAATACCATAGTATATAGTGTGATAAAAACATAACATAGTGTGCCATAAAAAAGTCATAGTATAATGTGCCATGAAAGATTAATAAAACATGTCAAACCAAATATTATAAAATACGACCCAGTGTAGTATTTTGTAAAAGATTAATAGAAAATGTCATAGTATAGTATGTCATAAACAAATAAAAAATAAATTTTGCAATAAAAAATAATTAGCAATAGAGTATGTCATGAAACATTTTACTGTATAGTATGCCATACAAATGTTTTAAAAGTCATAGATTAGAATGCCATAAAAATGTCAATAGTATGATATGCCATCAAAATATTATGCCATCAAAAAATGATAATAATATACATCATAAAAATGCCATTAAAAAGCAAAGTATAGTATACCATGAACATATATACAGTAAGTGTCTTGCCCAAGGACACATTGACATGGACAGATTGAACCTCTGATCTTTATGAAGATAAAGTATGTGATAGGGAAGGCAATTAAAAATATATTATAGTATGCCAAAAAGTTATCATATATAATATCATAAAAGGTCATACTAGTATATTATAAAAATGTCATGCAATAGTATACAATACAGATGAAAAATAGCCTCTTGGCTCACTTACAGGAATGTTTTATTAATGTGCACTGTCCCTACCCAAATAAACCAATAAATAAATGAAATAGAAAATTATAATATACTACGACACAACAATATGATAGTATGCCATGAAGATAAAATAGTAAAAGATAAAAAGTGTCATAAAAGTCGTGATAAAAAATGTGTACTATACATTATGTCACAAAAAAATGTTATGAGGATATCATAGAAAATGTCATAGTATAGTATGTCATAAAAATGTAAACAAAAGAATGACATTACAACGTCATTAATCTACATCATTTAGAATGCCATGAAAAATGTATTACAAATATCTCATTATTAAGTCATAGTCATATGCCATAAAAATGCCATAGAAATTCCATAGAATAAAATGCCATGAAAGTAAGATAGTATGACTTAATAATATTGAATGTCGTAAAAATGTCTTAAAAGGGCCACTGTATAGTGTACCATGATTATATCATTAAAATATCATCAATATTATAGCATTCCTTAGAAAATATAATTGTATATTATGCCATAAAAATGTCATGGTATAGAATTTCTTAAAAATGTCATTAAAGATGTCATGGTATTGTAGCCATACAAAATGTCATTGAATTGCCATAAAAGATGTTTAAAAAATACAAGTATTTCATAAGAAATGCCAAAGTATAATATGTCTTGTCCTTGAATGAATTGAATAGAAAATGTCAAAGTATAGTAAGTAAATAATATAGTATGTCATACAGAATGTCATAAAACATGTCACTGTATACCAAATATTGTATGCCACAAAAGTCACATAAGAGTCACAATTTAGTATGTTGTAAAAGTATAATAAAACATGTCTAGTATGCCAGAGTATACATATAGTATGCAATAAAAAAATAATGAATTACTATGTCATGAAAATGTCTTAGTAAAGTATGTCAGAAAAAAGTCATATCATAGTATGTCATGAAAATTAAAATATTGTATTCCATAAAATATCATCGTATAGAATGTCATTAACATGATAGTATAGTATGTTACAGATAGTGCCATAAAATATGTCATAGTATAGTGTGTTGTAAAAAGTCATAAAATTATTGTATTCCATAAAATGTCATATTATAGTATTGCAAATATATATATTTACATTATATGTTAAAATATTATATTATGACATAATGAATTCCATTAAAGTATGATAGACCATACAAATGTCACAGTATATGTTTTACACTACATGTCAACATTCATACACGGATGGCTGAAGCTGCCATACAAGCTGCCACCTGCCCATCAAGATGTAAACTAAATGCTCACATACACACACTCACACGTACACGCACTCACACATACACACACTCACACATACACACTCACACGTACACACACTCACACATACACACTCACACGTACACACACTCACACGTACACTCACTCACACGTACACACACACACACGTACACTCACTCACACGTACACACACTCACATACACACTCACACGTACACTCACTCACACATACACAGCGATGGCACAGCCTTCGGGAGCAAACCTGACATTCAGTATCTTGGACCAAGGACACACAGCCACAGCCTTCCCTCAATATAGAATGCTAAATGCCATAGTATATTACACCCTAAAAAATAATAGCATTGTCTTCATGAGTAGTATATTATGCCATAAAAATGAAATGGTATGTCTTATTGAATGTCATTGTAAGGGACACTATAACAGATTAATGAAAAATGTTTACAAAAGTCATATATTATCTCATGAAAGAGTAAAAAAATGGGCTAAAAATGTCATGATAAATGTCATAGCATAGTATGCCATTAAAGAGTCATAAAAAAACTATTATAATATACTAGGTCACCCAATCATCAACACTTTGAGAATCTCTGTTGTAGTAGTTCTCCTTTATGTTGTACTAGTTGTTGTAGAAGTCGTTTTTGTAGTAGTGGTAGTAGTTGTAGTAGTAGTAGCAGTTATAGTAGCAGTAGTAGTAGTAGTTGTATTTGTAGTAGTAGTAGTGGCAGTAGTTGTAGTAGTAGTTGTAGTAGTAGCAGTTGTAGTAGTAGCAGTTGTAGTTGTAGTAGTAGTAGTTGTAGTAGTAGCAGTTGTAGTTGTTGTAGTAGTAGTAGTAGCAGTAGTTGTAGTAGTAGTAGTAGTAGCAGCAGTAGTTGTAGTAGTTGTAGTAGTAGTAGCAGTAGTTGTAGTAGTTGTAGCAGTGGCGGGCCGTGCATTTTATACCTAGGCCTTCACTGTTGTCCTGCAGCTGAAATACCACCTTATAACCACATGATGGCGCCACAGATATTATCAGTTTCTAAGGCTGTAACTATGTACGTATTAAATGTACGTAACGTTCGGTACGAGACTTGCAATACGTTTGAATAGTACTAGAGCATCTGGAAAATGCAGAAGCTTATATTCAGGAAAATATAATATTTTCTGCACTCATGGAGGACAGTGGTTTTCAGCTGGTCTGGCTGTGGGCCCCATCATCATTCCTTAACGACAAGTCACAGCCCAAAGAGATGTCTTATGATTTTACTTTCACAACTTGAGCATTGTACGTACTGCTCTGCAATGTCTTTCCTCGTCTCAGCCCCCTGTGTCATGGTGCATCTCACTCAGTCAGAAAGCCCATATTTGATTGGCTGAGCTGCAGCACGTGATGTGATTCACTACCCTCATGCCTCTGCTGTTAAGCTTCGTTTAACGATGGTCATGTGCTCGCCCACTGACCAATCACAGCGCACTCTGCACCTCCCGGCAGACACTGAGCTGCACTAATGCTGACGTCATTATAGGCCGGCGAGCAGGCTCTGATACGTCAAAGAATACGCCCAACATGTCAAACTAAAGATCTGATTGGTTGAAGAATATGACAATCAACAATATCGTCCCCGTTCACTTAAACTGC